GGGTTCACATTTTTTAAAATAAGAAAATTACTTTGTCAAAAATTACCAAAAAGTAAAGGAAGAAAAGAGAGAGCATATGTTTGCTTGGCTTGTGGTTTTTATTTTACTACGTATTTTATTTTATATTTTGGGGCCATTGAATGAACTCAGAAGACATATTCCATTTTCATGTGATCTGTTTTCTTTAAAGTAAAATAAATGTATTTTTATTTCGCGGTTAGTTTCATTTGGACCCTCCAGCGAGCCTTTATTACCAGTGGACGCACGCAGTATTCCTAATTACTCCTCGTTTGGCCATTGGGATGGGAGATTTTGAATATAACTAATTAAATTATTGTTCATTATTGGATACTATCATTTCACTCTTTTTATATCTTTAGTATTCCAATATGTGACTTAAATAGAAAAATAATATAATGCCTCGAGAGAAAAATCAAGCCACGTGTAAATAAAATCACTACTCCGTATTCTAAAAGAAAAGTTTCAAATGCAACTATACGCTAAAGCCGACCGACCTTATTTGAAAATAACATTTTCGATTAACATTATCGGTTTAGATTTAAAAAAAAAATGGTGCACTTTCTTGTCACATCCAAACGAAAGAGGGCATTATAAGTTATGCACTCTTCATCACACTTTACTTTTGATTTTGACTTCAAATGTATACAAGTGTTTCTTTCTCTTTCAAATTTCTTGAAGTGAAAATTAATGTTCATTGTAAGCAATTGTTGATCTAGTCTTTGTAGAATTTTTGTTGTAAGCTGTTGATGGTAACTGTAGTCAAATTCTCAGCACACTCTCTCCGTTTTTAAAAAGGGTTCTTAGTTTGATGACTAAGTGTAAAAATAAGAAGTGTTAAATTATAGCTGACTTCCAATTTTGTCCTTGATGTGACGTGTAAAAGTAACATGCATGTGATGGATAAATTATTAGAGAAAAAGTATGATGTGATAGGTAAGTTATGAAAAAAGTAAGGGTAAAAGTAATTTTTTAATTAGAAAGTGGAAGTGTTTTGTTGAAAGTGAAAAAATGAAAGAGAAATATTTTTGAGAACAGAGAGAGTAGTACGTAAAATTCTCAATGTATGTATTACGGATGATGGAGTAGGCTATGGTTATTTGATTGATTATTTATTACTCCGTAATACCTTCGTCCCAAAAGATTCATGTTGGAAAAACGTGCCTCACAAATATGTTATTTTGATATTATTTTCTAATTTTTTCCTTACTTTATAATATCGTAAAATATGATATGTAGAATAGATCATAGATGAGTATAATAATATGAAAATAACACCAAAATATACATTTTTTAAGTGCAACTTTTTTTCAAACAAACAAGATTTTTTTGGGAAGGATGTTGTTGTTAATTAGTACGGAGTACTTTATTTAAAATACATGCATTGTAATCTAGTTTTTTTTAGGCGAGCGAAATCATAAACTCTTTTGATAGTTTTTTTGATTCTTTACCTCAATGCATTTCTTGAACCTATAGGATTAGGGTTAAGATTAGAATTTCTCTATCTCATTTAAATAAAGATGTAATCTTTTCATTATTATCAATTAGAATGTTGCATCTCATATTCTCTCTTTTTGAAGTCAAAAAACGCTATAAGTTTTTTTATATTTCTTTCTCATTCTTTTCTAGAGTTTGATGACGCTCGAATTTTTTTCCCTATATATATGACACGACACTTGTATCTGTAAGCAACCAAGAATAGTCGTGAAGTGTTATGGTAATATATATACTTGATCATGGTTGGTAATGTAAATGCATTTTAAATTCTATTTCAAGAATTAAAACATGAAAAAATAAATATTTTCAATGTTTAATTTTTATTTTATTCTTTTTTCCCTATTTCTTTATTAAGGAAGGAGCAGTCCGTACTGCGGGGATAATACGAAGTTGTATGGATTGCATTTCCCTTTGTTTTGTTTAACGATTTTACTCCCTCCGTCCTAATTATTTCTTCCCAGTTTGACTTTTCCTCATTTTTAATTTTTGGCTTTGACTTCAAATTTTACCCCCCTTAAAAAAGATTTTTTGAATTTTTTTTGCAATCATTCAAAATATAGAGTTAGAAGATAATTGGTGCAAATACATGAGGATATTAATGTCATTTGCCATCTTTTTTTTCTAATGAGATTGTAGTTTTAGGACGAAAAAAAAAGAGAAGTGGGAAGATAGTTTTAGGACAGAGGGAGTAGTTGGGATAGAGGTCCAAGTGCACGTGAGGGAGGTGGGCCGCTTGTCAGTGGAGCATGTGAGTGTCAAAGAAACACAAGTTGCGGTGGTCAACCGCCACGTGGCGGTTCATAACGGGATTCTTCTGCGTTTCCCCATTCGTTAAAAAAAAATGTTCCAGCGAAACGGGCGGAGCCATTATTTAAGTCGAAAAAAATTAGATTAGAATAAAGTTAGTGTCACAAGTCCTCACAACCAAAATACTCACAAAACACATGAACTTGTGATTTGTGTATTTTAGTTTTATTTTTTAATTATTTAAGATCATTATTTGAATCTATTAATTTACTTATTTGACTAATTTGTGAATTTTGTAAATATTTTCTTTCTGACTCGAATTTTACTCATTAAATTACGAAATTTTAAGTTAAAGTTGGCGTGATAATGATTCAAAACATACCTATAAAAATCTCATACTTTTTTCCTGATATGTTAGTATGTGATCCCACTCTAAAATCTCAGAAGATATTTGTCTGTGATATAATTTGATAATACATATAGTTTTATTGAAAAATATATATTACATCATTATATATAAAGAATACATGAACTTTTTTTTATAATAGAATAAATAGTTATGTTAACAATAGAATAAGTAAGTAATAATAATATTCCATTTTATATCATTCATGCTATTATATTTCTAATATATATATCTCCGCAAATTAATTATTGGAAATGAAGATCGATGTACTAAAATAGATCGAGTCGGGGGAAGTAATTTTGGCAGATAACTGCTAGAACAAGAGTGACATTTTTTTGTTGCATGACAAATGCACTTGAGATTATGACTCTTTCATCTTTTAGATTCCTCTATGGCTCGTACATTATTGTGCAAAAAAAATTAACCATATACTCCCTTCGTTCCGCAAAACCATTCCCATTTTGACTTTGGGGAAAAATAAGGAAAGTGTAATTTTGGTTGACTTTCCAATTTTGCTCCTGATGTGATGAGAAAAAGTAAGATGTAATAGTTTGGTTATTAGTGAAAAAATATGATGTGATAGGTAGGGTATGAAAAAGTAGTGGTAAATGTTGTTTTATAATAGAAAGTGAAAGTGTTTTGTGGAAAGCAAAAAAAACGAAAAAGGAAGAGTTTTGTGTAACGAAAGGAGTACTTATTAGTAAGATCCTCATACTCATTGGTAAAGAGTACTTGTTTGTCTTGAAGTTACACATCAAAGTTCATTTCTAGAAGTTAAAAAAAAGTTTATTTCTAAAAGTTAAAAAAAATGTCATTTCTAGAACAATAATTTTACTCCCTTTACAGTATGTTTAGAGAAACACCCCCTAAAAATTTACATTAATATCTCTCAAATTTAAATTTTAAAGATATCAAAACACTTAATTAAGCTCGATCACCAAACTAATCAATTTTAATTCGTAATTGTGCAATTGACTCCGGTAAATGGAGTAATTAATCAGGTAACGTGAGAACACGTGCTTTCCTATCACGTGATGGCTCCCCATTTCGGCTCCATTGTCATGATTCACGGGGTTGACGGAATAAACCTTGATTTTTGTTACTAAATTATGAATAAAATATTGAAGATATATTAAAATAAGCGTTTCATATTTTATTATCAAAATAGAAGTTAAAATGTGTATACAGTTCCAACTATTTACATTACCAAAAAAATTGTAAAATGTACAATGTTACATTTCTATTTTAGGAATAAAAATAAAGAAATCTTATTTTAATACTTTATCTATATTTTATTCTAAGTTAGGGTGAGTTTTTTTTTAAAGAATGAACCCCACCTCTCGCACCATTAGAGATAGTCAGACAGTCACACGGGGTGAGATAAATTAGATTCCAATCAGAATTTGGTGATGAAGAATAATGAAGCTTGCATCTGTTACTTAAAAAGACTTGATGCGCTTTACATAGTTCGCAAAAATTGAACTCAGATAGGTGTTGTTTCCTTAGCACTGTACTCATTGCTTTGTCAACTATGCAACACCACTTACTCCGTAATTTTTTTAAAGTTCTAACTCCTTCTCAACCATCTCTTTAGAACACTGGCCATTGTCAAGAACAAAATTTTACTCATCAATCTCTCTCGATGCCTCTCACGTGCACACAAGATTTATTTTTGCATAAGTTTTGCATGCAAAAATTAATTTTTTAAAAAGTGGATACTAGTGAAGTTTAAACTCGCAATCTCTTCATAGAGCTTTGCAGACAAAAATATTTTGCTCGAACGTTTAATTTCATCCAAAAATTTATTTTTACTCGAGCTTTACATGCATGCAAAATATTTGTAGTAACTATATGCATGGAGTAAACTTTTTTTTTATCTAATGGAGTAATTTAATAATAGTCATCTAGACCTAAATAATGCTCATGAAATAACTTACGTTTTAAATAGGAGGCTAGACATTCAAAAGTTTTGGAAATTAGCATTTTATTTAAATTCTAGCTAGCACCTTAAATCTAAAATTTAAAATTTTGGATTTTAAATGACAAGTTGAGGTGTATAGATTTGTAATTGAGACTTGTATTATAAATTACGGAGCAAATGAATTTTCCTCAATTCTAGACTTTTATATGGCTATATAGACCTAAAAGACATATTTTATACCAATAAAATAAATGAAAATATTATATTTATTATTATAAGGTATCTAGATTTTATAGTATATCACTGTAGATATTCATCTAAATAAAGAAAATACCAAAGGTCTAGATGACTTATTAAATTACTCCATTATATAAAAAAGTTTATATAAAAACTAAAGGCCTGAACTTTGTGGTCCAAAATTGAATCTAAATCTATTCGGCCCATCTTCCATTTATTAGGCCCAACAGGTGATGAACCGATTGTAACACCTTACCCAATTTACCTATAGGCCAACGGTCCTCAGATCCATCGCCGCCGAACCGGGGAAATGTCGACGGCGACGGCGAAACGGATAAATGAAATGGCTTCAGATCCATACTATCTTCTCCACTTCATTGCATTCTTCTCCTACATCCCTATGCGCTGCTCCGCCGCCTGTTTTCTCCTTCCCTCTCGCTCCTCTCTCCTCCTCAAACGTGTAATCTCCTGTCATCTCTCGATGCCTGCATATGTATATGTGCGTTTTTTGAATACGATTCGGATGAATTTCCGGCTATTGAACTTTTGATTATCTAATTGACAGGAAATTCAAGCAGTTGTTGCTTTTACTGTGATATCTGTTGTGAAGGTATGCGATTTTTTTGCTGATTTCTTCATTTTCTCCCTCTCCATGCTATATCTCTACCAAATTATGCTAATGTTTGCATTGAACAGACTGTGAGGGCGGAAACATGGCAGACTGTCATTTCAGATACTCTGTTTTTTGCAAAGGTATTTCCCTGATTCGCTTATTTGATCATTCCTTTAGTCTGAGGGTATTGGATTGAGTTGCTGCTACGTTCATCATGTACATATTTTATATGGAATAACAAGTAGATGATTCCATGGTTTGGATCCAATAACCCAAAGCTTGAAGCCTTTAAGAAATGTAATCAGCTTAGAATTTCAAAAACTGATGTTAGAGTTTTGTTGAGTGGTTGGCATATAGAGGAAGGAAAAAGTTGCACACTTGGACGCATAAATGAGCCATTGATTATACGTGGAAATTGTGTGTGGTTTAGTGGGACGCAAAATTTGTACTCCATTGCAGTTAGCAGTTTTGCCTTTTGACTAGGTTTGGTTTTCTTAATATGTAACTTGTTTGTTAAGTGTAAATTTGACTGAAGTGATTGGAATTTTTGAAATCATGACTGAAATTTATGGGCTATGAATTGCTCAATAAAGCAATATATAATATACTTCCATTAATAAATTGAACAAAATGTGGGTAGAAATGTTATTTTCATTT